TTTCTTTAAATCCTTAAACAAAGACACTTTCTCTTTTCGAGGTATTACGCAAGTTAATTAAATTTGTCAAGATCAAAGAATCATCCTTATATTTCAACAGAACTTTCTCCTTTTTTTTTGGTTGAATGAATCATTCTCATGTGACTTTCCCAATTGCCAGATTTGTCAACAGCTTCCGCATATGTTTTTTGAGATATATCTTCTTTTTTGTTACAAACTTCTCGCATTCCACAAATGGTTAATTAGCGGCTAACCAAAATTGGTATATAAAACAGCGGGATATATGGTCATAAAGCGCACACATAGATCGACACCTGATTGACATTCAATTCGAGACAAAACAATATATTATATAAACTTGATCGAAATCCCCAAAATGGCATTAAACAAACTTTTTTTTTAGGAGAAGCCAGAACAGAGTCTGTGTTCTTTATCAGGAGAATGATTATTTCCCGAATTCTCTATTGATTTCCTTAAGAATCTTGTCATTAATTAGTCACCTTACCTTGGGGCTTGAGTGAAATTTTACCGTTCATCCAGGTGCAGCAGCTGGTTGCCTAATTAAAACAAGGTGACAGACGGACAGACGAACTCACTTGAAATGTGAGTTGACCAACCAAATTAGTAATCTCGCATCGTGACAGACGACAAATCGCCTTAAATGTACGACTTTAAATGTAATTTTTGTGGGATTTTGTTGCTCATTATGGCCATTTTGTGTGTGTGTGTGTTGCTTCCTCTTCGTGTGTGGGCGTGTGTAACTGTAAACTGAGGTTTTTCCTTTTTGGCCAAATTATTCAGGTCTCCTTCGGACATGTATTTCATGTTGTAATCCCCAAACTTTGCTTAACCTCAAGACGAAGTTCGTTGTGGAGTATTCCTTTGTTCTGTCCTCTTAAGCTTGTTTCGAGATTCTTCTCTTTTTTTTAATTTAAAATTAAATATTCATCAATAAATGTCAATGTCAAAGTGAAGTTGCCGCTTGTTTCGAGAGGTTTTTTTGTCAAGATTTTGCCAGAAAAGATTGCAGTTTGCTGAAAGATTTAACTTGAAGCTGGGAGTTTTGTGGGGAAAGAAGATTGAAACATGAGATGGGATGAGGTATTCTTTGAGGTTTTTATACTGGAGAAGTTTGTATAAAGATATAGAATTTGATTCTGTGTCAGTTATGCTTAAAGAGTCATACTTTTCATTCTTAAAATGCATTAAATAATGCACTTATTATTCGTTTTGTTGTATTAAATAATGCACTTTAAATAAGATTTAACTTATGATACCGATCTCAACCGCAACTTCCTTCCTATATATCCGACCTGTTCTATAGCTTCCTCTCCCTATATCTCTGATTAATCCAATATTCTGACCGACCATTTCCCATTCCGTTCCACTGACCAACTTATGGAGCTCGCATTTTGCAAAAAACTCGTTTCGAAGTGCGACGCAATTGCTGAAGATACGATTACGGGTACCCGTAGTACTCGTATTTATTCATACTTTGCCAGTGACTATAGTATATTTTTATGTGTAGTTTTTTTTTTATTTTTTCCTATATATATATTCTTTATTTCCATTAAGCCAGCAGCACTTCAAGGTTATAATGAGCAACATATGCTGCGGGTAGCAAAACTGCAACTGCAACTGCAACTGCAATCAACTGCAAAAAAGGCACAACTAAAAATGCATTTCAACGACGACGACGACGATTTGTTGTGTGTTCGTGTGTGTGTGTTCTTTTGTGTGGCAACTAAAGCGAGGCATTTTTTCATTTTTCACGTTTTTCCGCTGCCGCAGAGCAGATACGGATGGAGGGGGAGCTGTTCTTGAGGCTTTTCTGAGGCGTTCTGCTTAGTTAAACTCTGGCCGTTGTTTTGTCGTTGCCTGATTGATGTTTGTCAGCTGTTCAGCTGTTGCCCAGCGGCCTTAGAAATTGTTGCAACATTGCCCAGAACCGATGGAAAATTAAAGTAAATTATACACATAATTACGAGTTTTTTTGCTGATGTTGCTGCTGTCCAGCATCGCAAGATTCTGGTACTCGTAATTCAATTAAACATTTTCCACATATTGTCGCAGGTAACAAAAAAAAAACATACTATAAATGTTTGAATAAAAAAACAATGCTTCTAAGAATTGGTCACGTTTCGTCACCAACAAAAAGAAACAACAACAATTGGCCAAAGTACTTACTAACAACAATTGCATTGCCCGCATTGAGTTGTGATCATAAAAATTGCAAAGGTGCCGTAAACTGCATGGCTGCTGAAGTTTTGCTTGCAGACCCAACCGCCTCATAGAGATGACCACTAAAAACAGTGACTTTAGCTTTATTAAATATTATATAATTTTTTTACCTTTATACTACATTTAATTATCAAATAAATCCGAATCAACGTCATTAATTACCATGCTCGAATAAGGAAAACTTTATAAACTGTGACTTTTCAAAATTATCACTTTTATTTCCCTGATAAATCATTTAAAAACTGGAAACTTTAAAACCGAATTAAAATTAAAGTGTGAATTAAAATGATTACCATAATTCATCAAATCAATATTAAAAGGTGTTAATTTCATTAATTTTAATTGGATATTTCTATGTGAGCTGCACAAATTAGCGCTACAAAATGATTTTAATTAAAGCTTTTAGCGTAACAATAGAATTTGTACAATTATGTTCAAAGATTTCCGAAAGATAACATTGTTATATTAACACAAAGTTTAGATACTTATCAGAGATTAACTTGCATTCTAGCTAAGTTTTCCTACTTACTATTAAGTCACTGAGCTGTGAATGATTTATTTACCAGCACCGATTGAATATACTTACATATATCTACATATATCTATAAATATCTACATATATCTATATATATCTATATATATATATATTCATATATGATGTATCTCATATGCAAATGGGAAAGCAAACGAAATGTGGTTGGTAAATGATTTTCCACACAATTTGCAATTAGTAATAACATTTTTATCTGTCTTCGGCTTTGGCTATAGATCGTCAATTTCATCATAAAGGCTATACACAAAGAGAATGTTGGTCTTTAAGTTTTATATAAAATAAATGTAAGGGTTAAAATATTATTTATTTTATACCAAACATTTTTAAACAATTTTCAAGCTTTATTTTTATATCCTTTTCAGGGTTTTATAATTTTAGTCAGAAGCTTGTAAAGCAGGGAAGGAGTCATTTCCGACATTATATTCCGTATATATTCTTGATCAGCATTAACAGCCGAATCTTGAAATCCATATTTTTTGGTAAAAAGTGTCCTTTAAAAATATTTATTAAAAAATGGGAATATATTAAGTTTAATTATGATTGATTTCCTCTACGGACCTTTAATTCAAATCACAAACTGCAAGGATATATAAAGTTTGCCCTCCCAAATTCCACTTAATGACCGATTTCACTGCAATTTCTCGCTGTGTAGCAGCAGCATCGACTTGGCATGGCTAGTTATATAAGTTGGCCAGGCAGCAGGTAATGATCCCTGCCGTGTTGGCTTCGCTTCGTTTCTGAAGCTGAAGCTGAAGCTAAAGCTAAAGCTAAAGCTAAAGCTGAGGCTGGCAGATTTTCAAGGTTAAAAGCGACGATATGGCGCGCGGTGAGCGCACGTGAGTCTTGCTGCTCAGCTGCTGGTGCTGCTGGCCAGCAAACTAGTTTCAAATGCCTGGCAGTAACTTACAGATACAGATACAGATACACATGGTAAGGCTTCGGCAAGGAGTGGCTCTTGGCTCGTTCGTTCGGCTTGGCCCCGCAATTAAATACAGATTTTTGTTCGCTCTTGCAACTGCAACTGCAGCAGCAGCAGCAGCAGCAGCAGCAGCTGTGGGCTCATTTCGATTCGTTTCGAGTTCAAGGCTATTGGGTCAAATTGCAAATTAGTTGCCGCCTGCAGGTTGACAGTGAGTGACATTATTGTATGTATAGTATCTGCAGGCTGACCACCGCAGAGGGACAGATGGATTAGCCGAGGCGGTCAGTTCAATTATCGTATCTGTTAGATACTTCTGCCGCCGGCTGCTGTATAAATCTAGCATTACCATCAATCAGCTGTCGCTGGGCCAATGGCTTTTTTCCTATCAAGTAAATAAACATTAAGAAATCATATACAGATGAAAATGTACACCCAACTCCCCCAGTTTTATTGCAATTTATGCGCATATCAAGTGGCCAAGCTTAGCAGCGCATTTACCTATCAACGCTTTTGTTGTTTCGATTTGCATGAAATTGCAAAAAGCTAAAAAAACAAAATAGCAAGAATAATAATACAGAAGATACAGATACGCTTTTGTATCGTTATTACATGCATAAATGATGCTAAGTACTGTGTGATCTCTTGTTGGCAGGTTGAGATACTTTTCAATCTCTCAAGTAGATTTTGGCTGTGATACGTTCTCAGTGTTTTGTTTGCTGGAAGATACAAAGATACTTAACGCTGAAAACAAGTGTTTGCGATTGTACATTGATATGTATCAGATTGGAATAAATATCAGTAGAGGTCTCAAGTGAACAAATAAAGTTTAAAATGGTTTTTTAATTATTTCAACTGGCAAACAGATACATTTTATATTGCCATATTACTTAATCAGAGGAACCTTTTGTAGATATTTATATATTTATCTTAATGTATAAAGTTGTTCCCTTTTAATTTGTGCTACCTGTGATCGTTTTTTATGGTCTGTTTTTATGATCGGTGAGGACTCTTGCCATAATTACTGCAGGTTTTGTTTCATTTTTACAGTCAGTCAGCCGGCTAAGTGGCAGTTTGGCAAGACAATGGCCCAGACAAAGCCCCCCGACCTTAGACACTTCCCTACATTGTCACTGACTCGACCCAATGTCGCCTTTGTTTACCTTCATCTTTGTATGATTATATTGAGACTATAAATAAAAACAGGATGATATTATGATGTAAACTTAATTGTAATAAATACTCTTATGGTAAATAAGTTAGAGTAATCATTTCCTTTCATTGCAGCCCCTCAAATCTTCCAGTATCCGCCACCGCAGAGCCCCTCCTGCAATTACACCGGCGGCGATGTATTCTTTCCCCACGGCCATCCGAATCCACATCCGCGCACTCCCCGCACCAGCGTGAGCTTCTCCTCCGGCGAGGAGTACAACTTCTATAGACAGCAACAGCAGCAGCAGCAGCAACATTTGCCATACCCGGCGCCATCGACACCGCAACCGATGCCACCACAGCCGCCACAGTCAGCGCCGGCGATGCACTGCAGCCACAGCTATCCACAGCAGTCGCCCCACCTGCTCCATCCCGGCTATGGGCCCTACTATGCCACCTATACGCCGCCGCCCACACCAAACACGGCCAGTGCCGGCACCTCGACCTCCTCGGCGGCCTTCGGGTGGCACAATCATGTCCATAGTCCATCGCTGGCGTCCACACCACTGGCGCCCAAGATGCGTCTGCAGCGGAGCCAGTCTGATGCGGCCAGACGGTGAGTAGATATATAGATACAGATACGGATACGGGATACAGATGTTGGGAATGTGTGAGATATTCAAGGATTTTGGGGAATTAATTGCAGGCTAAACCGAGTTCGATAAGGCTATAAATTCTTCAGAGAGTTATATAGAGTGAAATATATATTCATTTGAAATGCAAATCTTATACAGAAAATGTATAGATTATATAGATTTGTATATTATATATTATATTATATATATATTATATTATATATTATATATTATTTATATTCATATTATTTACATATCTTTAATATTCCAAGTTCAATATACCCTTTTCAGGGTCAGAAGCTTGAATCTATGTGAAGGAGTCATTTCCGACCCCATAAATCATATATATTCTTGATCAGCATCAACAGCCCAGTCGTTCTGGCCACGTCCGGTCAAAAATTACATTTTTGACATTTTTCCGAAAATTGAAAATTTTATAAGGGGTTACATCATTAAAATTGTCAAAATTTGACAAAATATTGAATCTTTTAAATTTGAAAATTGAGTATGCAGATTAATGTTAATCTATTAAAAATTAGCATAGAACAGCTTTCCGAATTAAAATCAATGATTTTTTGGCTGAGTTATGCGTTTTTAAAACTATGATTTTTGGACAAAATTGTCTGTTTTTATACCTTTTTGCAAGGTTTTATAATTCAATTCAAAAACTGACAATAGCATCAACAATCGGAGTATGCAGATTTAATAGTACAATTAAAACTAGAACATAACAGCTTTCCGAATTAAAATTAATGCAATTTAGGCTTAATTATGATGTCCGAAAAACTTATATTTTTCAATAAAATTGTCTGTTTTTATACCTTTTTGATGGGTATAATTTAATTCAGAAACTTGTTACGCTGTGAAGGAATCATTTCCGACCACACAAACCATATACATTCTTGATCAGCATCAAAAGCTGAATCGATTAAGCCATGTCCGGTCGAAAAATAAATTTTTTACATTTTTCCGAAAATGGAAAATTTCATAAGGGGTTACATCATAAAAATTTTAAAACGCAGTATGCAGATTTGTTAGCGCTATAAAAATTAGCACAGAACAGCTTTCCGAATTGAAATTAAAGCATTTTTGGCTTAGTTATGCGATTTTTAAACTTGGATTTGTCATATAAAAATATCAATAAATATTGTTCAAACAATGCGAATATTTTAAGCTTAATTCCCAATTAAAATAATCTTTGTTTAATTTCTTTGAGTTTTCTTTAACTAAAATACTTACCATATATACAATACAAATCCTTCTCTACAATTTATATATTTTGATATAGAGATTACAAAAGAACCTCGAACTCTTAAAAAATAATATACAAATTGCTAGACAGATTCCCCTATATTCCGATTCCAATTTCCATTTCAAATTCCCATGACACAACGCAAAAGTTTTTTTTTTTTTGTATTTATTAATTAATGAAATCGCCAAGTTGCGGCTGGATTATTATTATGAACATCTATGTATATACTACTGATAATTGCTCATGACGTTCCCAAGTCACTTTTGCCTACAGATACTTATATATATATATATGTATTATATAGCTTATGCAGCGATATTTATAGTGCGTCTTCTCTTTCTCCTTTTTATTTTTTACACCAAACAGCAAGCGATTGACCTCGACGGGCGAGGATGAGCGCGAATATCAGAGCGACCATGAGGCAAGTTGGGAGTTTGAGTTTGATGATCGTTACGACAATTTTACGGCCGGACGGGAGCGTTTACAGGAGTTCAATGGACGTATACCGCCCCGGAAGAAGAAGAACAGCCATAGTCACAGTCACAGTCACAGCAGCAGCACAAATAATAATGCCAACAATAACAGCAATATTAATAATCATCAAACGATTAGCCAAAATATTAATCAAGCCAGCAACACCTCCAATAATACGGAGAACAGCAGCAGCAGCAGCAGCAATTGCAGTCACAGTCAGCAGCAGCGACAGGTGGAACGGGAGCGACAAAGGACACAGGCTGAAAAGAAGGTAAGAAATTTGTATTATTTAATATATATTTTAAAGTAATTTTATATATAGTTTCTCCTACAAAAATCCCACATTTTAGAGCTTCTACTCAAGCAATTATATTATAACATCATCAGGCAAGTGAAAGTGAGTTCATTAACTCGGCTAACTGGAAGAAAACATCTGCTAGGCAGAAATCCCTGGCACGTGGCAAACATTTTTCAAAGGCTCAGGCAAATAAGGCTAAAAATATCATTTTCATTCCCCCCCAAAAAAAAAGCAATGACAAATTGCCACACGCGAAATGTAGAGTCGCAACGATCCAGCAGATACATAGATACATTTTTCGCTGGAGTGAAGTGCACATGCTAAATGTGTGATAAAAATTAATTGCGCAGCGAGGAGGAGAAAGAGTCAGTCAGTCGAGTCAGTCTTGTTGTCACTCCTGTCTCTGGCTTTATGTTAATCATGTCAGGCGCCTCTCTATATAGAAACTATATAGTAAGTTTCGCCTCTGTATAGTTACAAGTCGGGCCTTTGAGTTTACACATTTTATGCGTCGCGTTTTTTTCTTTTAGTTTTTTTTTCTTGCCTGCGCAATTTAAAGAAATGCAAAACTTGAAGAAATTCAATCGCAAATTGCATGACACACACACTCAGTCTCTGTCCTATAATTTATTACATTTTATTCGTTACGATTTGTTGTTGTTTTTTTTGTTTAATTGCATAAAGCAAAAGTCTTATCGCCAATCGCTTTGTGGGGGCTCATCCTTGGTGAGGCTGTCGGGGAGCTGCAATCGGGAAGCTCCCTCGGCTCACTGGGATTCGACCTTATCCGAGACTATATATACCATATATATACAAACTGTCTCAGCTGCTTAATGAGAGCGTGAGAAATTCTGTAATCTTTCAAAAGTTTACTATATAGCTATAGATTATACTTTTCCAATACGCACTTTTCTTTGAAAACCTGATAAATCAGCAATAGCTTTTAATTAGAGATTTTCCTAAACTAGAATATTGATTTCATGTACATAGATATTTCTGTGACAAAAACCCAAAAATCTAGACACATGTTTGATGGTCTTTCACATGCCATTAACCTCAAAGGTTCTAACAAAATATAGCCACATAAAATCGGGGCCAAAAATTTTGGGACAAATTCGTATGAAAAGCAAACCAAAAATTTGCATATAAATATGTGCGTGAGGAGATTTTTGGTGGTTGCTGCATCAGTTCCTCGACCACACAGCGACCATTGAAGCGTGGATTATTGGACAAATAAATGGTGTAAATTATATAACCATTGATGCGGGTGCTGCTCGGATGAAGGGAGGGATAGATAGTCAAGTGCGTTGTATAGAAAAATAATTACACCATTGACCGGACAAAAGTTGACCGCCCATTTGGGTCAGACCACAGTGAAGTTCATCCGCTGGGCAGAGTCAATAGTTTCGCTTGATTTACGTTTCGAGTTGGATTTTTAGAGGGTGGTTTTATGGCCACGTGTGTGTGTGGTTTTTAGATACTTATTTTATGCCACACAAGGGAGCTATATGAGGCCAGGACTTGCTATCCTATAAATTGAATATTAAATTAAAGCCTGTTTATCAATAATTTTGTATATATTTCAATTTATTTGTATACATTCTAATTTATATATTGTTCTCTCCATTTCCAGAGCTTCACCTGGCCCACCGTGGTGACTGTCTTCGTTTTGGCCATGGGCTGTGGCTTTTTTGCGGCGCGATGAAACCACCGCCAAGAAGGGAAAACAAAGTCGAAGACGAATGTAATCGAATGATCTATAGTGAATTCAGTATGCCGATTGATCTATATATACATATATATACTAAGATTTATAGCGAAACCCTAAATAAGTGCAACGAATTTATTGAACATCAGCAAAGTCATTAATTCGTAAAGCGATTGTTATATATACATCAGATAAATATGTGTGTGTGTGTAAAGTTAAGAAGGTTGACGGGACACAAGAACAATATATGTATTCTATCTCTGTCTATTTGCATTTTGTAAGTATATATATATATATATATACATCTGAAACGATAATGAAACAGTGCTTTCCTCAAAGTAAACAATTCAAACTGCTCAAAGTAAAATGATGAAAACTCTTAGAGACTGGCAAATGACTCAAAAATCACACTTATTTTTGTACAACCTTTTGAAAAAACGATAGAAATATTTACAAACTAAATTAACCAAGTACAAAATAAGACAGAGAGAGAGAGAAAGAAAAACTACTGCCAATTCTTGAGATACTTTTGATAATCTTTGCTTTTTTATGTTGCATTTAATCATTTCCAATTGCATTTTCTTCAACCACAACAAAAAAATTGTATTTCTAATTTAGAACAAAATAATACATAAACAGCAATTTCAATGTCTTCGCATTTGTAATTTCGAATTGCAAGCAAAACGAAAAAAGAAAATATATTTTAAATATATGTTTAACTAGTAGAATTTTTGTAAATGTAAGCCAAGCCCACAAAAAAAAATCACACACTTAGCTTTAATTGTTAAAACAAACAAGAAAAAAAGAGGAGAAAAAACTAAATCAAAAAAAATATGAATGAAAAGAAAAGCAACTTAAATTAATTTTGTAAATAGTTTTTATGCCATTTTTGTGATGTTTTGTGTCTACGGTTTATATGTCGTGTTATTTTTTAGTTAAATTTCTTATGATTTATGTTTAATTGTAATTTTTTTTGATTTATCAGTGTTTGTTCATCATCATCTTCAAATTGGTCTCACAATTTTGTAGTTTTAAGCTTAAAACACACGCCCAGGAAGTTGGACGGCAAGAAACTTTGAAATTTGGTCAGGAAAATATTTATATATACATAGATATATGGATTTCCCCATTATTCTTACACAGTCTTTTTTGGAATGCACACATAAATGATCTCTCACAAATGGAAATTAATGGAAATTGATCTCCGCTCAGCTAGCCAAAGTAAAAAAGAAATGAAAGGATAAGGAAAATGTTAATGAAAAGCTGCCAAACTTCAACAATTGTTTTGCTTCGAATTTCCCAGGGCGTTTCCAATGCTAATCGAATACCGTGACATGAAAGCGAACATAGCGAAGAGAGAGTAAAGAGATAATCAAAATCAAAAAGAAAAGAAAAAACAATTCCCAAAAATCGCATTGATCTCATGGATTTATACAATATACAGATAATACAATCAACCGTTTTTTTACAATCAGAAATAATATGTTATATAAAAATCAAGCAGAACGTGAAAAGTTAAGCAGAGAAACCGAAAATAAATAATGTAACGAAAGGTTTTTAGTGTTAAGTTCGCCAAGCGTTTTAGTTTTAAATTCTAAATGAAGTTTAAGTTTCGATTTAATGAGTTTTTTGAGCTGTCCTACCCGGACTCCAGTTTGTAATTGTATATATAAATATATATATATAAAGCAATATTAATTTTGTATAGTGTAAGTGTCCTCACATAACCCAAGCCAATCCCAGACAATAGAACATTTCCCGTATTGAAACATAATTTGTATTACCACAAAAAAACAAAAAAAAAAACAAAACGATAGAAACACTCAGACAACTACATATATGTACATCCAAAACCCAATGAAAAATTATTTTTGTAAATTTGTTTTGCAACAAATGAACCGGAAAATGTTGTCCCGAACTCCTTTCCCGGTTCATTGCTAATTAGTTTTCACAATGATCTCGGTAAAGTTTTGTGGCCTTGCGCCCAAAATTCGATGAAAAATTCGATTTTTGGTTTGCCATAAATACTCGAAACAAAAACAAAAAGTTAAAGAAAAGCACAAAAACGAAGCAAAAGAAACAAAAGAAAAAATCAGAGAACGAAACAAACACACAATAATGAATTTTTATATATATAAATATTTTTGACCCAATGCGACTTAATCCGTTTTTAAATTTAAGTATCGTTACTTGTATCGACTTTGTATATAAATTTATATAGAGCAGTGCAGTTCGAATCATAGAATCAAATGCCATTTGTTGTTTAGAATTTTTTGTTTGGTGCCAAAACAGTGACAAACGATGACGTGTATTCGCATATATATTATACCATACCATACCATACCATACATACATATATTGTAACTTCGATCCTAAGTTTGATTCAGAATTTGGTCAGTTCAGTTTTAGAGTTCTAAGCATTTTTCTGCTTCTGTTTTATGTGTTCGAAAGCAGACGATATCTTTGTTTAACTTGTACATTTTATACATTATGCTGTAATATTTTAATATACATATAAATATCATTAATGATCTCATGAATATGTTCATAAGACAACAAAAATTATATATATATATACATTATAATACGTCTATGTGTAAATGAAATAAAGCGCGCATAAATATAATGTAAGATTTGCAGAGAAAAAACAACAACAAAAAATGCATAAAAAAAGATTTAAAAGAAAAATAAATAAAAAATACAACAATTTTAAATGAAGACTTGCTATTTTATTTAAAATAGCAAGGGTTGGATGCTGAGGTAAGTACATAGATATATACATACATTTTTATATATTTAATTGCATCGTTAAAATTGTCAACATTCGACAAGAAAATTGAATTTTTGTAAATTTTTAGTTGAGAATGCAGATTTATTAAGCAAAAAAAAACTAGCACAAAAGTTTTTTCCGAATTCAAATTAAGACATTTTTGGCTAAGTTACGATTATTTTAAAATTTGAAAATGTCCAAAATGTTCTAGTTTATGCCTACAACAACAAAAACTCGTTTACAGCAACATCAATGTAAAACAATAACTACTTACAATAACAAAAGAAAATAATCCATTAACGTCGGCAAAATTTGAATTTGAATTTAAACGGACAGTCAGTTGCCGCCATATCAGTAAGCGCCAAATTTGAATTTGAATTTAACATGGGCGATCACTTGCCGCAATTCAAATTAACCGCCAAATTTGAATTTGAATTTAAATAGACGGTCAGTTGCCGCCATATAAGCTAACAGAAAAAATTGTTGTTGTTGTAAAAAAAAATTGTTGTTGTTGTTGTAAAAAAAAAATGTTGTTGTTGTTGTTGTAATTTGTTGTACAACAATTGTTGTTGTTGTAGGCCCTGGCGACGCTTCAATTTGGTGCAAAATCAACGATTTCTGGTTTGAGGTACCAGGCGAACAGAAAGCAGCAGCAAGCAACTGCATTTTTGGCGGTCAAGAGTTGCCAGATCGACGGCATATGCGATCGATCTGGCACCATTAGGCTGTTAAGCGTTGCCAGATCGATGAAATTTTCAGCTGGCCGGCAACCAGCGTTGCCGGATCGATGGCATATGCGATCGATCTGGCAACTCTTGACCACCAAAAATGCAGTTGCTTGCTGCTGCTTTCTGTTCGCCTGGTACCTCAAATCAGAAATCGTTGATTTTGCACCAAATTGAAGCATCGCTCGGGCCTACAACAACAACAATTGTTGTACAACAATATACAACAACAACAACAACATTTTTTTTTACAACAACAACAACAAATTATTTTACAACAACAATTTTTTCTGTTAGCTTATATGGCGGCAACTGACCGGCCATTTCAAATTTAAATGACGATCAGTTGCCGCCATGTAGAAACCGACATGTAGAAACCCGCCATGTAGAAAACCGCCATACAGAAAACCGCCAAATTTGAATAAATACAAAATCTTTATTTTTGTTATAAAATGGTTAAAAATCATTTCCGACCCTATAAACTATATATTTTCTTGATCAGCAAAAACAGCCGAATCGATCTATCCATGTCCGGTCAAAAAATAAAATTATGCAATTATTTTCGAAATTTCACAATTTTATAAGGGGTAAAATCGTTAAAATTTTAAAAAATTTACAAAAATTTTAATTTCTCTAAATTTTGTAGAAATTCAGTATGCAGATTAATTACCCGCATAAAAACTAACATACAGATGGTTTCCGAATTCAAATTAATTCTTTTTTGACCTAGTTATGAAATTTTTCAAATTTGATTTGCCCAATATTAAAAAAGGTTCCATTTATTTCTTAAATTAATCTTTATTGTATTTATTAATTATTTAGTTTATTAATATTACACTTATATATATTTTACACTTTTGCACAATGTCGAATTTTAAATTAATCTCAGTTGTTGATTACATACTTTCAGGCTGCAACAAAATCCACGATCACTGGCTCCGCTGCTTTTTCCCCTTATTCACAAACACGAAAACCCACCCCTTTCAGGTTTTATTATAAAAAGGGGATGAGTGCCGTGAGTGCGTGTGAAGGGACTCTTCCGATTGCTGGCCACTTAGGCGGCAAATGAATGCCTAAACCAATTTGTAGTTTCTGCTCCGTTGTTGTGGCCGCGGATTAAATGGCCATAATTGCTGCTCCTGCAGCCGGCGACACGCGACCTGGTAACGGGATACCTCAGCGACCACCAAAAATGATGTGTTATTAACGGATTAAGCTGGCGATGACGATTATAATGGAAACTCTGGGGCAATTATGTTAACCTGGCCACCCGCAAAGCCATAAGTTCGACGGCGGTCATGACGTCCGTTTCCGCCTTCAATCACGACACATGCAAGTGTCAATCAAAACGAGATATTAAATTCCAAACTGTGATTACCATTTACATAGACGCGTGGCTGATTCAGTTAAATGGATATCGAATAGCAAATATTTATGGTTTTCTATTTAAATTTCCATATAAAATTGGTTAATAACTGCAGCACCTTATTATCCCGTCAAAACTTACCTTTTCCCCTTAACCTTTTTAAAATGCTGCAAAAATGTTGAGGTATGCCACAGAAATCCTTCGATATGAATTGAAATAATGCCACTCCCCAACCGTTTTGAATTAATAAACCTTTATCTATCACAACATTTTCACATGTTTTTAATTAAATTGCATTCTACTTAACTATTCGCCACTTAAAAGCCACTTAAAAGTAATTCAATTATAAATAAATCCAAGGCATCTGCTTATTACAGTTTTTAGCCGAAAATGAGGGAAAGGTTGGAAGAAGAAAAAGTTAATTTCATTAAGGAAAAATCTCCCCCAGCTTGGTTCTGTGAAATACATACACGTGCTGCATTAAATGCATTAAAAATTCATTACAAAATGTACACAAAGGAGAGATAACTCCCTTTCTTCCCTGTGAAGGAAGTGGCTCCTGAAACATGGACACAAATGTAAGAAACTTGTCTCTTGAACAGGGATTACATGTGTTTTCTCCCACAAGATTGAAGTGCGGATATGTAAGAATTTATTATTAGGCATCAATATTTTACTATAAACAATACTAAATACTAGTAATAAGCTCAGTTATGTCCTAGCGACTATGTGTGGTAATTTACTTTCTAAATTCCTATGTTTGTTCGCTTTCGGCAACTTGGCTCAAACTTTTCTCATCTCCGAAAACTGATAAGTATCCTTTCCATTTGAACTTGAAAGATAGAAAACACAAGGACAACTTCCCTGCATTCCTGATGAAACAGGTTAAGAAGCATGGCAAACGGAAGGAAATAAACAATCTCATATATCTGTGGAAATGCTTTCGAGTTGGGCTCGTAAATTTTCCTGGCCTGCGGGGCCATCAGACGGATAACTCATAAGAGAGACAGGCCATGGCCATATATGATGGCGATCATAATCAACGTCTTTTGGCACTTTATTGACAAACTAATAAAACCCGGACAGAGAAAATGTGCATCTAAAAAGGATGTCCTGGCCGAGGAGAGACGGATAGGATAGGAAACGATTTATTAAAATCCCTGTACATGGCATACATAATAAAAAGGAAGCTTGGAATGGCAGGGGTAGCATGGAGAATCTTTACTGGCCCGTTGATGTGATGAGTAATTTGCTTTTGGCTTTTAATGTTGGCCAGTCAGTCAGGGGTACACTTGAAATAAATTCTGTTCTCTTTCTAAAAAGAAATATATTATTTTGTTGAAGAATTACTACCTACTGCTGTTTAATAAAAGGATTTCTTTAAAACCAATATAAAATCATATTAAAATTAAATGTTCAATCAATTTCTTTCACTGCTTAAACTTGTTCAGGACAAGGAATAGTTGCAGGACACGGAAATTAGTGCGGAAACGCTTAGCAGTACGCTTAGCAATCTGTCAAAAAGCCAAAATGTAATAAATGAGACCCACAACGATGCTAGGAAGGATACTAGGTGGTCCTGTCTGTGTGGGACCATCAGCATAATTCATACGGACATGCCAGGACGACAAAAGCCGCTGACCAGGACCAAGTACAAAGGGGGAGACTGGCCTGTGCTATCTTTTATGGCAGCAGAGAGGCACCATATTTCATTACACGTTGATAAGTGGTCATTTATCCTGGCTACGAGTTTAGTTTGGGGTTTCCTACATGCCAACAGGCATTTCATAATAATTTGAACAACCTTTTTACGAATAACCTGCTCCCAAAAAGAAGCCTTTGATTAAATATGGGAATAGTGCAGCGTGTTCAAATGTATTTGGAGCAGCATGCAAGTAGTTATTAGTTGTATGTTAAATATTAGTTCAAATTAAACTATGTTAAATGTTAGTTAAAATCAGTGTAAATCGTGTACCTGGGTCTGCTTAGGACTCGCCACGAATGCGACGTGCCAAGTATATATCCTTGGGCATGATGGTCACACGCCTGCCATGGGTGGCACATAGATTAGTGTCCTCAAACAAGCGCACTAGATAAGCCTCAGACGCTTCCTGCAAGTGAAAAATTAAAAAAGATTCAGTTTATAAATGAGTTTATCAACTATAAGAACATCCCACCTGGAGACAGCTTAAGGCCGCCGTTTGAAAACGTATATCAGATGTTATTTCAGCTGCAATGCTACGCACCAAGCGTTGGAATGGCAGTCGCCGGATAAGAAGCTCAGTTGATTTTTGATAGCGACGAATCTCACGAAGAGCCAAAGTTCCAGGACGATAGCGATGGGGTTTCTTTAATTTGGCTTCACCGGAAGCTGGTTCCTTGGAAGGCCTGGTGGCCACCGGCTTCCTGGCAACCTTTCCATCGGAAGATTTACGAGCAGTCTGCTTGGTACGGGCCATGATGAAAACTCGAAGCAAGCTTTACACAAAAAAGAAAACAAACAATAAGAATTTACACGACATTATTTTTCAGTATAGAAATTTTCAAGTTAAAAGTTTTTATAATTTTTTGTTCACAGCTCTTACCAAAAATAAGTTGTTTTTTTCCGAATGAAACTTTTCCGTAGAACACAGACGAAAGACTGAATCAAAATGGAAATCAGCATTGACTAGGAAACAATAAAATGTATGGCCTCCTTTGTGTCCATTTGAAATATGTGAAATAAATATTCACACTAATTTTCAGGTAATTTATAAAGCGCCTATTCTTACTGAAATATTTTTAAAAATTATTATATAAAGAACAAATTTAAACAAATATTCGATAATGATTTACTTACCCCTTTCGTAGAATAAAAGAAAAATCCTAAGAATATCAAGCTTATAAATATTTGCAGAGTGTATGAAATCGTATTAAATTATATTGAATTTGATACTACTTTAAGAGCAAACGAAAAGTTTAAAGTTTAAGTTTAAAATTGTATAACAAATTTATAAATAACTGCACAAATTGCAGGATAAATTGGCAAAGAATTATAAAAGCAGCAAAGTTCTTTAAAAAATATACATAAATAAAATTTATAATAGCAATGATATTTCATTTTTAAACTATTATGATGAACAATATAAAAATAGTGTTACTTGAAATTCTCAATCTCTAATTCGAATTGCTACTATCATTTTCATCGTCCACAAAGTGGTGTCGCTTGGCATTGATAACTCTAAGAGGTGCCTTCGTTTTTCGCTTCTCCACTCTTTGATTCGGTTGCGTTTCCTGAGCCTTTGATGGAGGTTCCTTTGCCTTACTCGCTGCCACATAGGTGGACCTGAAGCATTGAAGAAATTGTGGAGCTGGTGGCACATTGCCAGACGAGTGGAAGGGCACAATACCCTGAATGTGCTGGGGTCGCACAAGGCTGCACAGTTGCCGCAGATGCATCCTCGTTGGCTGTGGCGACCATTTGAGCAAATCCAGTGGAAAGTTCACTGTGGCAATCAACTCCTCCTTCAGCTCTCGACTGGCTACCGTTCTCCAGTTGTGGGTGTCGCAGACATGGACTTTGATCACCCTTTCCGGAATGGGCTTCAGATCGGAACTGAGGCACTTGAAGCTCTCCAAAAAGTTGCCCACAAGTCGAATATGTCCATGGAGCCGGGTGTTATCCAATTGATAGACGAGTTCCTCGTAACCGAAAAGCGGCAGCTTGAGAAGCACCACTTGATTGTGCTCCTTACGATATTCTTCGATGGTGGCAGCCAACACATCAAAGTCCACGTGCTCAAAGGGTCGATTAACATCTGAGAGATTCAGATACAATTGCTCTGTGCCCTGGGAGATCCAGGAATTGAAGACAGAATTGGCCAGCAGGCAACCGAGGTTTTCCAACCTTGCCGCCGAGTAACAGTAGAGCAATTTTCCGGCATTTGTAGGCCGCCGTATGAGCAGGATGAGATTGTGGCCAAGTTCACTTCCAGAACAGAGCATCGCCTCCAGACGCTTGCCATCGCTGAGGCGCAGCGGGAAAGGCTTGCACTCCTCCACCACCTGAAAGTCCTCCTCCCCGATCTTCGCCTGGCGGGACTCCAGATACTTTAGCAATTGGTTGGCCAACGGACGTGTGGTATACATCCGGCAGAACTTGCGGGGCAGGACATGCAACTGCTCCTGCACATTGCCCAGATGAGTCACGAATACCTTAAAGTGCTCCTCGTACAGCTTGGGGATCACGTCGAAGATCAGCTCCGGATGTTCCTTGGGTCTCATGGCGGACCAACAGAATTATTTCAAGGAATGTGCTGTAAATATAAAAGGTAACGTGAAGTTTGTTATAAAAAATGATTAATTATATATTAAAAATTGTCTACCTACATTTCTATATAATTCATATTCAGAGTATTAAAATTTTAGTTAGAAGCTTAAAAACACAATGAAGGAATCATTTCCGACCCTATAATCATATGTATTCTTGATCAGAATGAACAGCTGAATCGATCTAGCCATGTCTAGTAGAAAAATAAATTTTTTCATTTTTTCCGAAATTTGAAAAATACATAAGGGGTTACATCATTAAAATTGTCAAAAATCGACAAAAAATGGAATTTTTAAAATTTAAAAACGCAGTATGCAGGTTTGTTAGCGCTTTGAAAACTAGCACAGAACAGCTTTTCGAATTGAAATTAATGCATTTTTGGCTTAATTACGATCTTTGAAAAACACTGATTACTCTACAAAATTGTCTGTTTTTATACCTTTTTGTAGGTTATTATTTTGTTATTCTGAAGCATTTAACAGCATCAAGAAACGAAATATGCAGATTTATAAGCGCTTTGAAAACTAATACAAAACAGTTTTTCGAATTGAAATTAGTGCATTTTTGGCTTAATTATGATATTTGGAAAACACAGATTGTTTAAAAAAATGTACTGTTTTTATACCTTTTTGCTGGGTATTAGTATTAATCAGAAGCTTATAACACAATGAAGGAATCATTTCCGACCCTATAAATCATATATATTCTTGATCAAAATGAACAGCTGAATCGATCTAGCCATGTCTAGTGGAAAAATAAATTTTTTCATTTTTTCCGAAATTTGAAAAATACATAAGGGGTTACATCATTAAAATTGTCAAAAATCGACAAAAAATGGAATTTTTAAAATTTAAAAACGCAGTATGCAGATTTGTTAGCGCTTTGAAAACTAGCACAGAACAGCTTTTCGAATTGAAATTAATGCATTTTTGGCTTAATTACGATCTTTGAAAAACACTGATTACTCTACAAAATTGTTTGTTTTTATACCTTTTTGTAGGTTATTATTTTGTTATTCTGAAGCATTTAACAGCATCAAGAAACGAAATATGCAGATTTATTAGCGCTTTGAAAACTAATACAAAACAGTTTTCCGAATTGAAATTAGTGCATTTTTGGCTTAATTATGATATTTGGAAAACACAGATTGTTTAAAAAAATGTACTGTTTTTATACCTTTTTGCTGGGTATTAGTATTAATCAGAAGCTTATAACACAATGAAGGAATCATTTCCGACCCTATAAATCATATATATTCTTGATCAGAATGAACAGCTGAATCGATCTAGCCATGTCTAGTGGAAAAATAAATTTTTTCATTTTTTCCGAAATTTGAAAAATACATAAGGGGTTACATCATTAAAATTGTCAAAAATCGACAAAAAATGGAATTTTTAAAATTTAAAAACGCAGTATGCAGATTTGTTAGCGCTTTGAAAACTAGCACAGAACAGCTTTTCGAATTGAAATTAATGCATTTTTGGCTTAATTACGATCTTTGAAAAACACTGATTACTCTACAAAATTGTTTGTTTTTATACCTTTTTGTAGGTTATTATTTTGTTATTCTGAAGCATTTAACAGCATCAAGAAACGAAATATGCAGATTTATTAGCGCTTTGAAAACTAATACAAAACAGTTTTCCGAATTGAAATTAGTGCATTTTTGGCTTAATTATGATATTTGGAAAACACAGATTGTTTAAAAAATGTACTGTTTTTATACCTTTTTGCTGGGTATTAGTATTAATCAGAAGCTTATAACACAATGAAGGAATCACTTCCGACCCAATAAATCATATATATTCTTGATCAGAATGAACAGCTGAATCGATCTAGCCATGTCTAGTGGAAAAATAAATTTTTTCATTTTTTCCGAAATTTGAAAAATACATAAGGGGTTACATCATTAAAATTGTCAAAAATCGACAAAAAATGGAATTTTTAAAATTTAAAAACGCAGTATGCAGATTTGTTAGCGCTTTGAAAACTAGCACAGAACAGCTTTTCGAATTGAAATTAATGCATTTTTGGCTTAATTACGATCTTTGAAAAACACTGATTACTCTACAAAATTGTCTGTTTTTATACCTTTTTGTAGGTTATTATTTTGTTATTCTGAAGCATTTAACAGCATCAAGAAACGAAATATGCAGATTTATTAGCGCTTTGAAAACTAATACAAAACAGTTTTTCGAATTGAAATTAGTGCATTTTTGGCTTAATTATGATATTTGGAAAACACAGATTGTTTAAAAAAATGTACTGTTTTTATACCTTTTTGCTGGGTATTAGTATTAATCAGAAGCTTATAACACAATGAAGGAATCACTTCCGACCCAATAAATCATATATATTCTTGATCAGAATGAACAGCTGAATCGATCTAGCCATGTCTAGTGGAAAAATAAATTTTTTCATTTTTTCCGAAATTTGAAAATACATAAGGGGTTACATCATTAAAATTGTCAAAAATCGACAAAAAATGGAATTTTTAAAATTTAAAAACGCAGTATGCAGATTTGTTAGCGCTTTGAAAACTAGCACAGAACAGCTTTTCGAATTGAAATTAATGCATTTTTGGCTTAATTACGATCTTTGAAAAACACTGATTACTCTACAAAATTGTCTGTTTTTATACCTTTTTGTAGGTTATTATTTTGTTATTCTGAAGCATTTAACAGCATCAAGAAACGAAGTATGCAGATTTATTAGCGCTTTGAAAACTAATACAAAACAGTTTTCCGAATTGAAATTAGTGCATTTTTGGCTTAACTATGATATTTAAAAAACACAGATTGTTTAAAAAAATGTACTGTTTTTATACCTTTTTGCTGGGTATTAGTATTAATCAGAAGCTTATAACACAATGAAGGAATCATTTCCGACCCTATAAATCATATATATTCTTGATCAGAATGAACAGCTTAATCGATCTAGCCATGTCTAGTGGAAAAATAAATTTTTTAATTTTTTCCGAAATTTGTAAAATACATAAGGGGTTACATCATTAAAATTGTCAAAAATCGACAAAAAATGGAATTTTAAAAATTTAAAAACGCAGAATGCAGATTTGTTAGCGCTTTGAAAACTAGCACAGAACAGCTTTCCGAATTGAAATTAATGCATTTTTGGCTTAATTACGATGTTTGAAAAACACTGATTACTCTACAAAATTGTCTGTTTTTATACCTTTTTGTAGGTTATTATTTTGTTATTCTGAAGCATTTAACAGCATCAAGAAACGAAGTATGCAGATTTATTAGCGCTTTGAAAACTAATACAAAACAGTTTTCCGAATTGAAATTAGTGCATTTTTGGCTTAATTATGATATTTGGAAAACACAGATTGTTTAAAAAAATGTACTGTTTTTATACCTTTTTGCTGGGTATTAGTATTAATCAGAAGCTTATAACACAATGAAGGAATCACTTCCGACCCAATAAATCATATATATTCTTGATCAGAATGAACAGCTGAATCGATCTAGCCATGTCTAGTGGAAAAATAAATTTTTTCATTTTTTCCGAAATTTGAAAAATACATAAGGGGTTACATCATTAAAATTGTCAAAAATCGACAAAAAATGGAATTTTTAAAATTTAAAAACGCAGTATGCAGATTTGTTAGCGCTTTGAAAACTAGCACAGAACAGCTTTTCGAATTGAAATTAATGCATTTTTGGCTTAATTACGATCTTTGAAAAACACTGATTACTCTACAAAATTGTCTGTTTTTATACCTTTTTGTAGGTTATTATTTTGTTATTCTGAAGCATTTAACAGCATCAAGAAACGAAGTATGCAGATTTATTAGCGCTTTGAAAACTAATACAAAACAGTTTTCCGAATTGAAATTAGTGCATTTTTGGCTTAACTATGATATTTAAAAAACACAGATTGTTTAAAAAATGTACTGTTTTTATACCTTTTTGCTGGGTATTAGTATTAATCAGAAGCTTATAACACAATGAAGGAATCATTTCCGACCCTATAAATCATATATATTCTTGATCAGAATGAACAGCTTAATCGATCTAGCCATGTCTAGTGGAAAAATAAATTTTTTAATTTTTTCCGAAATTTGTAAAATACATAAGGGGTTACATCATTAAAATTGTCAAAAATCGACAAAAAATGGAATTTTAAAAATTTAAAAACGCAGAATGCAGATTTGTTAGCGCTTTGAAAACTAGCACAGAACAGCTTTCCGAATTGAAATTAATGCATTTTTGGCTTAATTACGATGTTTGAAAAATACTGATTACTCAACAAAATTGCCTGTTTTTATACCTTTTTGTAGGTTATTATTTTGTTATTCTGAAGCATTTAACAGCACCAAGAAACGAAGTATGCAGATTTATTAGCGCTTTGAAAACTAATACAAAACAGTTTTCCGAATTGAAATTAGTGCATTTTTGGCTTAACTATGATATTTAAAAAACACAGATTGTTTAAAAAAATGTACTGTTTTTATACCTTTTTGCTGGGTATTAGTATTAATCAGAAGCTTATAACACAATGAAGGAATCATTTCCGACCCTATAAATCATATATATTCTTGATCAGAATGAACAGCTTAATCGATCTAGCCATGTCTAGTGGAAAAATAAATTTTTTCATTTTTTCCGAAATTTGTAAAATACATAAGGGGTTACATCATTAAAATTGTCAAAAATCGACAAAAAATGGAATTTTTAAAATTTAAAAACGCAGTATGCAGATTTGTTAGCGCTTTGAAAACTAGCACAGAACAGCTTTTCGAATTGAAATTAATGCATTTTTGGCTTAATTACGATCTTTGAAAAACACTGATTACTCTACAAAATTGTCTGTTTTTATACCTTTTTGTAGGTTATTATTTTGTTATTCTGAAGCATTTAACAGCATCAAGAAACGAAATATGCAGATTTATTAGCGCTTTGAAAACTAAAACAAAACAGTTTTCCGAATTGAAATTAGTGCATTTTTGGCTTAATTATGATA